GAAGCCGGTGTTCTAGCAAAAGAACACCGGCTTCAGAGGCTGCCGGGCTTCCTGATCAATCAGGAAGTCAGGCAGCGAGTCATGAGGTGCCGTCCAGCTTCCTGATTGGTCAGGAAGCCAGGTTGCCTGGCAATAAGTGAAGCCGCTTCCTAGCCAATCAGAAAGCCGAGCAGGAAAACCATATGAGGTGCCGTCCAGCTTCCTGATTGGCCAGAAAGCCAGCTTCACTTGTTCCTAGGCAGCCTGGCTTCCTGATCAATCAGGAAGCCGGGAGGCGGGTCTTTACATACCACCCGACTTCCTGATTGGTTAGGAAGCCAGGCTGCATCCAGTAGCCCTCCACATATCAGATATGGATACTTACACTGAGCCAAGCTGTACCAATATAAGTTTCCAGAAACGATCATTTCTGAAGTTCCACTGGCCGTAAAAATCTCCCTTTTATTGTATTTTTTGTTTTGCAAATCAAGTGGAATTTTTTAATGCAAACCAAATAATTTTTGTACATTTTTTAACGTGACACTAAAATAATTAAAGAAGAAATTGATTAAAAAAAATCAAATGTTAATGTTAATGTAAAAGTCAAAAACGAATGTTTGAACAAGTAGAAGTTTAAAAATCAGCAGAAAAATGGGTGCCGACATTTGAAAATTTGATTTTTTTGGGTGAATCCAAATCCTATCCCTATTGGTCTTTACAATTAAGCCTTACGGGTTTTATGTTTGGTCTCATGTTTGTTACCATTCAAAAAAAAAAAAATGTGTAATTGGTTTCTGATAATATTTACCAACACGTGCAGCCTTTGGCACTTTGAATTTGGTTCATTTCAAGTGGTTTTTGTATTGAACAATTTTTTACATTTAAAGTTTGTACAAAACATTCCTGTGATCACTGATTGTAAGAAGCTCTGCACTCTGCAACAGATCCGGCAGACCATCACTGGGCTTCCATAGACATGCCATCATAGTGATAATAACGGGCAGCACAGTGGCTTGGTGGTTAGCACTTCTACCTTGCTGCACTGACGGACCCGGTCAGGACACTATCTGCAAGGTGTTTGCATGTTCTCCCTGTGCTTCTGTGGGCTTTCTTCCGATTTCGCTGGTTTCATCCCTCACTCCAAAGACATGCTGGGAGGTGTGGCAGTGCATGGCAATGCCACGGTGTAGTATGGCGACTTTGGCACACAGGACTCTCAGCCAAAGGGCCTGAGAGGGTCCAAAATGTGAACCATGTTATAAGGAAGAGCCTGGCTTTTCATTAGTCCAGGTTTTCCTAATTGTAGCTGGGATCTGGAGCTCTGGAGATCTCTGCTCTGGGTGGGATGAGATCTCCAGTCCTGGGGCCAGGTGTTACCAATGACCAGCCTGGGTTGATCAGGTGGCTGAGAGAAGCCTCATTAGGAAAGCCAGCCCAGAGTGCGCCCAGCGGTGAGGGGGAGAGAAGCCGCCCCCAGGACGAGCTGTGTCGGCCGCACAGCTCCCTTGTTGCCATGGCGCCCTGTGCGGCCGCACTGCTCGCACACACCTAAGGCCGGCCCTGGCTGAGAGAGTAGAGTTGGAGTTGTGTGTGTGCAGGAGGCACACGGACACAGGCAGAGTTTTTGTGTTTGCCCTTAATAAACTGTGTTTTACTTGAATTTCCTGGAATACAGTCGAGTGTGCTTGTTACAGAGGTTAATTGGCTCCTGTCTAAATTGGCCCTGTGTGTACAATATGGACTTCAGATTGTAAGCTGCTTGAGGGCAGGGACTGTTGTGAAGTATGTAAGGGGCTGCATATATAGTTGGCCTTGTATAAATACCTGTAATAAATAAATACAAAAAAATAAAATAATACATACATTAAGTTTTATGTATACATACATGTATACAATTTTATCATATTGACATACCAGCCTTGGCATTCTACCAGTCAGTCCAGTGCTACAGTCTCTTATAATTTTCTGTGTTCCAGCCCGTAAAGTCCTTTTTATTAATGTAAAGATCTGAATCTCCTCATTAACACTGGAGGGACTCTAATACTCTCCAGTAATCAATGTATCAGTTGTGAAACCCATTTTTATTCTCTCTGACACCT